CATGCTCTGTCTCTCTCTGTCCCAAAAATAAATAGAAAAAAAAAATTAAAAAAAAAATTACAACCTTCTAGGGGTGCCTGGGTGGCGCAGTCGGTTAAGCGTCCGACTTCAGCCAGGTCGCGATCTCGCGGTCCGTGAGTTGCAGCCCCGCATCGGGCTCTGGGCTGATGGCTCAGAGCCTGGAGCCTGTTTCCGATTCTGTGTCTCCCTCTCTCTCTCTGCCCTTCCCCTGTTCATGCTCTGTCTCTCTCTGTCCCAAAAATAAATAAACGTTGAAAAAAAAAATTAAAAAAAAAAATTACAACCTTCTATTCCACAATAGACACTAATAAGAAAAGCAAGCCAACCAAGTGGGAGATAGTCACAATACATATTCCCAAGAGTTGACATATCCAGAATGCATAACGAAATGCAAATCAAGAACAAAAAGGGAGACTTCCCAATCAAAGATTGGACAAAATACTTGGACAGACACTTCACAAAAAGGAATATTCACACAACTAAAAGTTTCAGAAAAATCAATCTAACTCATCAGGAAAATGCAACTTAAAACCACAAAAGATCACAGCACCATGAGAATTGCTAAAATGAAAAAGACAGCAACAAGTGCTGGGGAGGATTTGGGGCAACTGCAACTTTTAAACATAGCTGGTAGGAGGATGAATGGGTACAACCACTTTAAAAAACTCTGCTGAATAAACATATGAGCATGTTCAAAGACATGTACAAGAATAGTCATGGCATCACTATTCATAATAGTTAGAAACAACTCAAACATTTATCAACAACTGAATAGAAAAAATATATTGGGATATAACCATATATTAGAATACTATACAACAATGAGAATGAAGGAACCACAAAGGTGAAAACATAACGAATCTCTCAAACATAATGTTGAGCAAATGAAGCTAGATACAAAAGGAGTCCATCCTGCTCAATTCCAATGACATGAATCTCAAAAGTAGGCAAGCCTATCTAAGATGGCAGAAGTCACCTTAGATTGCTTCTCTTAGAAGAGAGGTTACTTTTGGGTTTCTTTCAGACGACTGAAAGGGGGCTTGAGAGATTTTCTGGGATGCTGGACCTTTTGTGATTTGCTTCTTCCACTTACCTAATATTTTCAAGGTTAATCCGTGTTGTAGCATGTATCAGTACTTCGTGCATTTTTTTTTTTAATTTTTTTTTCAACGTTTATTTATTTTTGGGACAGAGAGAGACAGAGCATGAACGGGGGAGGGGCAGAGAGAGAGGGAGACACAGAATCGGAAACGGGCTCCAGGCTCTGAGCCATCAGCCCAGAGCCTGACGCGGGGCTCGAACTCACGGACCGCGAGATCGTGACCTGGCTGAAGTTGGACGCTTAACCGACTGCGCCACCCAGGCGCCCCTACTTCGTGCATTGTTACTGTCAATTACTATTCCACTGTATGAATATACTATTTTTTTTAATTTTTTTTTTTACGTTTATTTATTTTTGAGACAGAGAGAGAGCATGAACAGGGGAGGGTCAGAGAGAGAGGGAGACACAGAATCTGAAACAGGCTCCAGGCTCTGAGCTGTCAGCACAGAGCCCGACGCGGGGCTCGAACTCACGGAGTGCGAGATCATGACCTGAGCCGAAGTCGGTCGCCCAACCGACTGAGCCACGCAGGTGCCCCTGAATATACTATTTTTTTTTAAAATCCATACATTAGTTGAAAAACATTTGGGTTGTTTCCACTTTTGGGTTACCATAAACAATGCCACTTATGAACATTTATGTATAAGTTTGGTGTGATCTATTTCTTAATCTGGGTGCTGCTTATAAGGATCTGATCACTTTCATAAAATATATTGAAGTATATATTATTTGTATACGTGCTTGTATGAATAGTATTTTTCAATAAAATTTTGTTTAATGAAATGAAACACAGACACCTACATTGCTTTCCTTTCTCCTGTTGTGGTGAGAAGCAAATCCTGCTGACGTTGCTGCTTCCGTTTTGGACTCTAAACTGGGAGCATGTGAGGAAATCCGGCCAGGAGGCATTCACCATCCCTAGGACTGATTCACAGCCCTCTTTTGCAGCCTCACAGAAGGACCTACAGGGCAGGAGTCCATGACTAGAAGGAAAGAAAGATGAAAATTAATGTTTTTATAGACTACTTCCTGAAATAACAATGAAATTAAAGAAAAGCTGGCCGCCAGTGCTGAGATATCATCTTAATCTATATTTAGTGTAGTCAACAATTTAAATTTCCACATTAAGTCCTAAAACAAGGATTTCAGCCACCCTATTATCATGATTCTAGGGACAAGAAGCTAGTTCCATAACATATCAGCTCACTATGTCTTGTAGAAGTATTTATCCCAAATGATTTTTTCCCCTCAATTTTGTGTGCTGAAGTAAAACTGTCAAAAAAAAAAAAAAAAAAAAAAAAGGAGCTCTAGTTAATCTCAAATGGAGTAAATTAACATAGAAATGAAGGCCCCAAATTGGAAAAGCAGAAGTAGGTCACAAAATAGGTTAATCTCATTTCTTCATCTTCCCTTTGAGAAATTAAAAGTATCTTTGAGAGGCAGACAGAAAGCTGTGCCTTAACCTCCACAGCCTCCCCAGAAAAAAAGCAGAGACAAGTGGAAACTCAGTTATTTGTCTACAGTAAGAAACTATTTATCTTCGGTTTTGAAAGTTATTTATCTTCTCAGATTTCTCTTTTATCTTTGGCAAAACAGAAAAATACAAACAACTGTCTGCTGTTGGTAAGGGTAATGATGCTCTGGGAGCCTGTCTCTACTCAACCGCCAGGCAATCGAACACTTCTGGATCAGAATGCTACAACACGAAGGCCAGGGACTTGTTCCCTTCCAGACACAGGTGGCATTTCCTACTTTGCAGCAATAAAATGTATCTATCTCTCACCCTGGCTGGTGATCAGGCTAAGCCATTTCAAGTGGTTTCAAGGAAACTGGGGAAAAAAATATACATGTCAGTCAAGGCAAAGCACACACTGTGACAACCTTAAACAATATCTGGTTCAAACCCTTATTGGAGATGGGTCTAAGAAGATTCTGAGACACGCTCAAGAGCACAATCTTCTTAATGGCAGAAGCGGGAAGAGAATCCAGGTGTTTGAAATTTCAGTTCATGCTCTATCTACTCTTCCATATTGTCTATTCTCACATAAGGATGGAATAATTCAGCTTTAAAAATCCTTTGATGAAACAAGAACATTAAAATTCCCCATTGATACTTCTATGGATTGCAGAAACATAATGGGATGTACCAGCCACTGATAGAGTGATAGAGTCTGATAGAATCTATAAAAGAATCTCGGGAGAGAGATCTTATTATATATAAAAATATGGGGCCGCCTGGGTGGCTCAGTCAGTTGAGTGTCCGACTCTTGATTTTTGGCTCAGGTCATGATATCACGGTTGGTTCGTGAGTTCAAGACCCATTTTGGATTCTGTGCTAACAGCACGGAGCCTACTTGGGATTCTCCCTCACTCTCTGACCCTCCCTTGCTCAAACTCTGTCTCCCCCCAAATAAATAAACTTTAAAAAGAACAATAAAAGTATGGAAACGGGGTCCTCAACAATTACACTCAGATGCAAATGCTTTTGGCCTTCCTGTCAGGAATTTGTCTTAAAACTGAGTATCTTTTAGGGGCGCCTGGGTGGCTCAGTCGGTTAAGCCTCCGACTTCAGCTCAGGTCACGATCTCACGGTCCGTGAGTTCGAGCCCCGCGTTGGGCTCTGGGCTGATGGCTCAGAGCCTGGAGCCTGCTTCTGATTCTGTGTCTCCCTCTCTCTTTGCCCCTCCCCCGTTCATGCTTTGTCTCTCTCTGTCTCAAAAATAAATAAACGTTAAAAAAATAAAAAAAAAAAACAACTGAGTATCTTTTAGAATCCTGATCTCCATATAATTATCTACCTACATTAAAATGTAACTAAATTTATTAATGAAGATGCAGAAAAAGAGGTTTTGCATTTGAAAGATTAGGTTTCGGACATAAAATTATGAATCGGTTCAGGCAAGTTTCTTGGTATAAAGAAGACACTTGACTGCCATTGTGAAATACATTAGATGTTTAGAGGACTTGAGAAAGCATCACTTAAATAGCATTTTAAAATCATATTCCAGAGAAGTTAGAGACTGTATTTTCTCAAATAAAACCAAAGGACATGGTTGAGGAAATCTGGAAAACACAGAATTCTTACGCGATTCCTTTGCGACACTTTGCTAGGTTCTAAGTGCTTCATGTGCATTAACTCATTCATTTCTCATTATGGCCCCAAATATACAAATAAAAAAGTTGAAGCACAGGAAAAATAAGAAGAGACTTGCCCAAGATCACTGAGGTAAGTGAGTGTCAGAGCCAAGATTCAGACCCAGGCAGACTGATCCCAGGACACGCTCAGCTAAACTCTATTTATGTGAGTCTATACTTCAAGAACGCATGTTCCAAAAGCACCACTCAAGGTTAGTTCAAAACTTGATACAGGCTCCAGGCCACCACAATAAAGTGAAGTCACAACAAAGCAAATCAAATGCATTTTTTGGTTTCCCATTGCATTTATAAAAGTTATGTTAACACTACACTATAGTCTATTCGGTGTGCAATAGCATCATGTCTAAAAAAGTGGTGTCCATACCTTAATTAAAAAAATACTTTATTGCTAAAAAATGCTACTCATCATCTGAGCTTTCAGCGAGTTATAATCTTTCTGCTGGGGTGCAGGGTCTTGCCGCTGACTCATCAGGACCCTGGGGTACAGGGTCCTGCTGCTGGGGTGCAGGTGGTGGTTGCTGAAGGTCGGGGTGGCTGTAGCAATTTCTTAATATAAGACAACAATGCAGTTTGCCTCATCCACGGATTCTTCCTTTCATGAACAATTCCTCTGTAGCACATGATGCTGTGTGATAGCATCTTACCCACAGTAGAACTTTCAAAATTGGAATCAATCTTCTCAAACCTTGCTGCTGCTTTATAAACTAAACTTATGTAGTATTCTAAATTCTTGTTGTCATTTCAATAATTTTCGCAGCATCTTCCCAGGAGTAGATTCCAACTCCAGATACCACTTTCTTTGCTCATCCATAAGAAGCAGCCCGTCATCTGTTCATGTTTTGTCCTGAGATTGCAGCAATTCGGTCACATCGTCAGGCCCCACTTGTCGTTCTAGTTCTCTTACTATTTCCACCACATTTGCAGTGACTTCCTCCACTGAAGTCCTGAACCCCTCCCAGTTATCCATGAGGCTAGGAATCAACTTCTTCCAAGCTCCTCTTAATGTTAATATTTTGGCCACTTCCCACGAATCACAAATGTCTTTAAGGCATTTGAATGGTTAATCCGATCCAGAAGGTTTTTTTGTTTTTTTTTTTTTTTAATTTTTTTTTTCAACGTTTTTTATTCATTTTTGGGACAGAGAGAGACAGAGCATGAACGGGGGAGGGGCAGAGAGAGAGGGAGACACAGAATCGGAAACAGGCTCCAGGCTCCGAGCCATCAGCCCAGAGCCTGACACGGGGCTCGAACTCATGGGCCGCGAGATCGTGACCTGGCTGAAGTCGGACGCTTAACCGACTGCGCCACCCAGGCGCCCCCGATCCAGAAGGTTTTGATTTACTCTTCCCAGATCCATCAAAGGAATCACTATCTATG